TATATATATATATATATAGTTGCATTTAAAAGGTAAAGGAATTCACAAGGCCTCGTTTTAATTTGGCGTGGTTTTGGCGTCAATTTGGAGACGACGGAACTGTAGTTCGGGGACGTATTGTTGTGCTTTCCAGTGAAATTTCATTGTGTTGTGGCGTGGGGTTTCTCGTTGGAATTTAAATCGATTTGATTGGCTATTTCAGATGAGCTCAAAATTATTAGCCAATCAAAACCTTCTCAATGAAATTCAACAACCAATCAGATCGATTGTGGATCGGTTTGGTCGGCGCGATTCGATTGCACCCCCTCCCCAAATTTGTATATCAAATCGACAATAATAGTTGCATTTAAAAGGTTAAATGAATTCACACGGCCTCTGCTTGTTAGGGTAAGCTTAGCGTGTAAAACACTATTAAAATGCGACCTCATTCCCATGAAAAAAACTTAAAAAAGTTGATCCGAGCAACCGGAATCGAACCGGTGGCCATTTGATTTCCAACAGTATACTGAAATCAGTACACTTTTCCACTACAGTCAAACGCTCTACCAACTGAGCTATGCTCGGATTACATTTCGTTGTAGTACATATAAAGTTTACTCCAAATGTCTTTGGGTGGTTGTGATTGGCTCGCTTCCACCAATCACAGCACCAAGGCTCGGCACCAATGATTTCGTTCCAATTGCGGTATCCTCAACTTCAATTGTTGTTGGCATAACCGCGTCATTGGTGGAGCATGTCGGGGCTGGCGGCGCAGTCGTTGAATGGCGTCAAGATCTACAACTTGAGCGCTGGGAAGACATTGCCCCAATGGATCGCTCAAAAGACCCGCAGAGCTCTATCCCGGGACGAAGACTACCAGCGTCGACTGGAGTTGCTGCAGGACTTTCACTTCCCCGTGTCGTCGCAACGCGTGACCATGTCGCCTGACGGTCACTACGTGATTGCCGCGGGCACGTACCCACCATCGATCAAGGTGTACGACGTCCGTGACTTGAGTTTGAAGTTTGAACGGCGGCTGGACAGCGAGGTGGTGCGGCTCATCTGCCTGTCGGAGGACTTTGGCAAGCTCGCGCTGCTGCAATTGGATCGATCGATTGCGTTCCACGCTCCGTACGGTACCCACACGTCCGTGCGCATCCCCAAAGCGGGACGGGATATGGTCTACCACCGCGGCGACTGCGACTTGTACATTGGCGCGTCGGACTCTGAAATCTACCGCCTCAACCTCGACCAAGGCCAGTACTTGGCTGGCCTACAGACCGACATGCCTGCCGTCAACGTCGTGCGGCTGAACCCCCTGCATCAACTCCTCGGTGCTGGTGGGGACAATGGTGTCGTGGAGATGTGGGACACCCGCAGCCACACCCGCGCGGGGTCCCTGGCGGCGGCTTCGACTGGCGTCACCGCCCTCGCTTTCGATGTCGACGGATTGACCTTTGGCGTGGGTACCCAAACCGGCGAAGTCAAGCTGTACGACTTGCGGTCGTCCACGCCCTTGTTGACCAAAACACATCAATATGGCCTGCCAATCGTGGACCTGACGTTCCACGAAGGCCCGTCCAAGCAAATCCTGTCGTCGGATGCCAAGTGCATCAAGGTATGGGACAAACACTCGGGGGCGTTGTTTACGAACGTGGAAACGTCGGCCGACATTCGCGACGTGTGCGTCGTCCCTGGGAGCAACGGCATGTCGGGCGTGCTCATGGTGGCCGGCGAGCAGGAGCGCGTCATGTCGTACTATATTCCAGAACTGGGCATTGCTCCGAAATGGTGCTCGTTCCTGGACAACTTGACGGAAGAACTCGAAGAAGAAGCGACGACCACCGTCTACGACGACTACAAGTTTATCACGCGCGTGGAATTGCAGCAACTCGGACTCGAACATCTCATGGGCACGCCCTTGTTGAAAGCGTACATGCATGGGTTCTTCATGGATGCTAGACTGTACGGTAAAGTGCATGCGGTGGCAGCCCCCCTCGCGTACGACACGTACCGCAAGGACAAGATCAAGCAAAAGCTCGAGGCCAAGCAAGCCAACCGCATCACTATCCAGCGCCGATTGCCCAAAGTTAACAAGGCGTATGCCGAACAATTGCTGGCTCAGCAAGCTAAAAAGACATCCGCCAAAGAACACGAAGACGTCAGCACGACCAACCCCCTGGGCGACGACCGGTTTGCCAAAATGTTTATGTCGAGTGATTTCCACGTCGACGAAGAGAGTGACACGTACCGGTCCATGCATCCGAACGCGCAATACACCAAGAAGAAGCGCTCCGATGATGTCGATAGTGACAACGATGATGCTGTGGACGAAGACCGATTTGATTTGGTCCGCGATGACAACGAAAAGGAAGGCAAGCCCAGTGACGTGTCGTCTTCGGATGATGACGACGGCAGTGACGATGATAAGAAGACGCCAGTGAAAAAGCTGGTGAAAGCGCCCAAGTTTTTCGAACTGGCCAAGGGCGAAGCCATCAAGAACGTGGTTGGATTTGGCTCGGCCGCGGACCGCGCCGCGCAGCGCGAACGCCGGCAGCTGAGCAAACTGCCGCTGGCCGACCGTGTCAAACTGGAGCGCGTCAAGGGCCGGGAGCGAAGTGTGATGAAAAAAGTCGACGATCACGGCACGTCCTCCGGCGGCATGGTGCGCGAGATGAGCTACATGCCCACCCACAGCCACGGCAAGCGCGCGTCGCGAGGCCCGGCAGAGGCGGACCATGCGCGCAAGAAGCGAGGGGTCCAAGATCTCAAGTTCAAAGCCGAGCACCGGAGACCGTCCGCAGGAGGACGAGGCGGTCGCGGAGGTCGAGGGGGTCGCGGGGGGGGCGGCGGCGGACGAGGCCGGGGACGGGGATAGGTAGAAATATCAAGTTAACAATAGAAAACCAAAGTTGTGCATGCTACTTTGAAGTAAGTGGAGTCGAGGCAACATGATGTACATAACGTTGTTAGCTTGGCTGTTCAGGGATTAAGCTGCACCAGATATGTACACTACTCAGTCTGTACCCTCAAGGAATTAACTATAAAGGCAATTCCAGCATACTATACGTATAATAGCTGTACGTGCGATACCAAGTCGCAGCAAATGCAAAATGTCAAAGGTCATTTCAGTCACTACGTTATAGTAATGCAACAACGCAATCCACAGAGTGCCCGTCAATCTCATCATCACCATATCTCGTTCATTAAAATAAAAAATTACTATGTAGTACCACTGTATTGCTGGTAAACTCGGTTAGCGGCCGTACTGGATATAAGCCATGGCATGGCGCGTGTTGTCTCGCCATCGTGTCAATGTGTGCACTTTTTGATCCATCGAAAGTGCGCTCAGACTGCCACGTAATGGCGACGCAAAGCCCAATTCATAGGCCGGTTGTGCATTGTCCAATGTCACGAAAGGCGCCAGAGTCTGCGACATGGTAAAATACGCGGCGGCATGCTCTGCCGAGTCGAACACCATGATGTTTTTCAGGATGGCGCGCACGACGGTGGGTTTGAGGTGGTCGTAACCAGGGATCATGTGTACGAGGTTGTACGCATACCCTCGAAACCCAGGCGTCTTGGGATCTACCTTGGGAAGGTCAATGGATGGCCAGTGAGGGTTCTCTAACGGAACAAAGTTGATCGGACCGACATAATGTGAAGCACTGCGGAAGCGTTGGACGTGCCTCGGCTGTTGAACCACCACCATGGCCATCGCCCCGAAGCGCTGTTTGGCAATAGCTTGTCCAATGCAAACGTCGTCGAAGTAGCACACGTCGCAGAACATGCCAATGATGCCGTGGTCAGCTGGCTCGGCTAGACAGAATTGCTCCAGGGCTGCATACGGGGCCTTCACTTCGTTCATGTGACGCAGTTCCCCCTCGACGGCGGTCTGGTACGTCCCGAGGTAGCCCAATACATCATTGGCTAGCATGGGTGGATTGATTCCAAGTTCCTTGAAGGCCAAACCTTGCCACAGCGTCGAAGCGTGCACGACGATGTGGTGGCGCCACTGGCGGCTGGTTTGTTGCAATCGACAGAGCGACGCAGCGTCCAAGAAGCCTGCAATTGTCAGCACCAACTCCTCCGATAGTCCTTGGGTCATGAAGAAGGCCGTCTTGGTTGTGGCCGTGCGGTGAGCATCGTTCGATGAGGCAACTTTCTTGCTCAATGCTGAAGAGCCACGCCAGAACGTGGAGGATATTGGGGTTGTGGCTGCTGTGCTGGCCGTCGAAGCCAATACCTTGGTGTGAAAACGATGAAAGGCATCATTCGAAACAGCTTGAGCTCGATGGAGCAGTGTGGAAATGTTGAAGGACATGGCGAATGGCAGAATGCTGAACCTCTCTCATGAGGTGTGGACGACCTTACCTGTCGAAATTATTGTCCAATTGCAAATCAAGGTGGCGAGATCTCATTGGCTGGTGATGTGTCGGTTGACAATCCACCAATCAGACGCTGCCAAATCAGGATATACCATCATTCGACGATCGTTTCCGAGTGTATGTCATTACCACGTCGCAACACGACATTGTGTACAATTAATAGAACTTGTACTATACTAGTACTACGTAGTAATAGTTTTGGTTTTCATCAAGATGGTTGCTGTGATTTGCGCTTGTGAGCTTGTGAGGAATTTGATCACGTTCTTTTTTACATTTTTCCAGCGTTGTATGTCTATAATAGCAAGTTACTCCAGACTACTAGTACTACAGTAACTTATTCTACTTCAGTAGATTAATTATTAGTTGTACTGTGTCTGACGCTGGAGTTGGCGTGCAATTTGAAGGATTTCGTCTTGATCGACGCTGTTCGGTCGCATTTTCTTGCGGTATTTCTGCCACACGATGAATCCGCCGGCACATACCACCTACATAAAATCATAGCAAAACCATTAATCACAGACTATGACAAGCAAGTACCATTAACGGCGCGCGAACCCACGACACATCGTAATGGGGGGCGTCCTGGACCATCAAGTTTTCGTGCACCACCACCAACGTGGAGCCGTTCGCAAAGCGCGACGACAGCACCACCAATGCATCATGGGTCTTGTCCCTGGTCACAAGCAATTTGGTGTGCGTCGTGTTGTGTCGGTCGTTCCAATCTGTGGCGAAAAGTCGTCTGGCCACGTTGGTGTCCACAAGTTGGTAGCCGGCAAACGTGCGATTCGCCACCACAAACACGAGACGTTTGAGGGATGCCAGCTGAACGTGAGTTGCTCGTGACGTGACCTCCCCCCAACCCGTTAAAGTTGGTTGGTCCTGGGGCACGAGTTGCTGCTGAATGGAGCACGCCGCCCTAGGTTGCCGCTGAGAAAACGATCGATGCAATCGCAACACAAGCACTGTCCCCGCCGACGTGCCGGCGTACAAAATCGACGGACGGTGGACATCCCGCTCCAAGCTGATCAGGGCGTTTGTTGACCCAGTGCAGAGTTGAATGGGATGGCCCCATTGCGGTACGTTCAGGATGCCAACGTCGGTGCCAAGTGTGAAGGCGATGCTTCCTCCGAGGAGGGCGACTAGGGCAGCCAAGGGGCGGTGCAGGGCAACATGATGCACACAAATGCCACCATGGGTGTAGATAAGCAAGTCGCCTTGGGTAGTTGCCACAACAACGTAAATGTCGTAGCTCACTTGCACGAGCAACACCTTGGCCCCGACGAATTCAGGACCCCGAGGGGTTTGAAATAGACGGGACATGTCGACGTGCAGGCCCACGGGAGGTGGACTGCTCGTGAGTTTGGGCTGAGGTTCCCCCCACTTGAAGACTTTTGGAGGGACATCAACGGCCTCGACTAAACATACTGGGCGATCGCTGGTTCGGTCTCGCTGAGGCTCCCCGATGCGAAGCCGACCGTTCTCAAGCACCCGCACGGTGAACACAGTGACGTCCCCGTGGGAAGAGACCAGTGCCAACGCACTTCGAGTCCCAGCCAGTTGATGGATGGATGTGATACACTTGATACGAGTGTGGAGTTGCCACAACAACTCAAATGTCCGAGGGTTGCGCAGCTCCAACAGCCCACTTGTTCGAGCCACGGCCAAGTAGTCGACGGTTTCGACGTCGGTGTCGACCAGTTTTCGTCGACGTCCGGCTGTGTGAACACGCCACGAGAGCAGCTGGAGCGCCGTGACGTCAGGGGCAAACAAGTGGGATGCCTTGTCCACCAACACGGTGTCCAAGCCGTGATGGGGCTCAGCTGAGGGGGGTTCCAGATGCTGCCACGTTTTCAATCCAGCAGTCGGTGGAGCTTTGAGGTTGGCTGGCTGACTTGTCGGTTGTGCTACCGGTATGGATAATGCCAACGTCCGCGCTTGCTGGTTATATAACCCCAAAAGTGACTCCACCACGTGTATTTCAGCATCCAGGATAGAGTGAAGAAGGGGAACAGTATGGTTGGGAATTGGGCGTGTGGATGCTACAACAGCCACGAATGATGACGACAGTGCAAGCCACCACATTGTAGTTTGGTGCCACCACAAGTTGGACTTTCGCGACGTTTCACTAAAATTCGAACAAAGCATCACACTGCATCACTTCAGCAGGAGTCAAGATGCCAGCCATACTGTAGTGTCATTTTTCTTACAAACCCCATCTTTGTATTAATTATAAATACCTAGTATTAAATTCTAGTGAGAAAAACAAGTCAGTGTGCCCGTTGTCAAAGGGAATATATTGATATTTTACTACCAATACTCCTGGCCTCTTGGAGCTAGAGTGGACTACAATTTTGAGGGATTGAGCAGAGCGGGGAAAGTCAGTGTGCCCGAGCGGTCCAAGGGGTTAGACTCAAGTTCTACTGTGTTCGCACTCGTGGGTTCAAATCCCACTGCTGACATCAGTTTTTATCCCACTTATTGGACATCAATCACGTGCATGACGTGGCGAATCGACATGATCGCTCCCATACTTGTGGTACTCTAGGACAAAAGAAACTCGGTGTGGTTTATCCGTTCAATGTCGAATTCGCAGGCATTCCTCGTACACCTGTGAATGAGGCATTAGCAGACTGTAATGAAGTAACGGCATGCCGCGATTTCAAAGTCAGACGTTTCATGTCCTTAACTTGAAACGCTGGCCGCGGAATCGTGAAGCGCCATGGACATAATGATGGTGCTGAGCACCGACGACGTCAAACGTCTCAAGAACAAGTTTGTGCGACCACTGAGTGTCGACGAGTTTGTGTTTATCATGATGAAGTGTCTGCACGACCACATCCACAACGAAGTATGATTCGTGGTTGATTCGTTGGTTGAGTGTCGTTGTAGCTCGAGTTTGTCATATCCGTGATCGAACTGTACGAGACCATCGACGTCAACGGCGACGGGTCGCTGGAATGGGACGAGTTTGCAGGGTGCGTCCCGATTGAGACGACTCACTCCACCTCCAACGGACTTGTAGGTACATTGTGGATGCGGGTATTGCCAAGGCCGAAGAAGCCATCGTAGCGCAAGCCACCATCAAACTGTACAGCCCCCTGGTGTTCAAAGGGGAGGCTGCGAACTCAATTCAACCGATGGCGGCCGACCGCACGTACATCCAACAAGTTACCATCTTAGCTGGTCGCCAGGCGTTGGCCTACTACGAGCACGCGTCGGATGTGGTGCACATTTACTTGTTTGGCCACGATCGAGACGTGGAGCCTCGGTTTGCGTCGACGATTCGACTGCACACGGCATACCAAGCGCATAAAGTTCGTTGTTTAATCTTCCCACTAATATCCCCTCAGTTTTCCCCTTTGAACTCCAGATTTTTTCTCGTTGCGTAGGTGCTTTACATTGAAGACATTGCGACGCGATCGAGTCTGGCGATTTCGTCGTACTTGACCACGGGGTGCATCACAGTATGGGACGTCACTCGCTTGTACAACCCGATTCCGTTGCAGCGAGTGGATATGGCCGTGCCGCAAGAAGTGCTAACGTGGGTGCCGTCGCACCAACTTCTTTTGGCCGCCACGACGCAGTCCACGTACAAAACCACGGCCAAGAAGCCGCAGCAGCACCAGTTTACGTTTGTGACGGCGTTGGACATTGCCACGCTGGAGCGCGTGCCCCTAGACGTTGGCGTCAAGCACGTGACTGCGCTGTGTGTCGTCAAGCGGTCGACGCGGACCGCCGTGGCCATTGGGTCGATGGATGGAACGATCACAGTGCACGATATGGCGAAGGAGAGTCAGCACCCATCCCACAACATCGTTGTAGATGCGCATGAAAAAGGTGGAGGCATCACTTTGTTTCGTACAATCGATGACGTGGATTTATGTATGGGTTTTGTTGAGTTAGGGGTCAAAGGGCTGACGTACTCGGTCAAATTTGGGTACCTCGCAAGCATGGGGCACTACTCATTTGCTGAAGAGTCGACGATGGAGGTGCTGGTGTGGCATTTCGATGACGAAAACGCCAGAGTTCTCTTGGACCGGGCGTTGAGTGGCCACCACGCAGCAGTACGTAGTAGCAGCACTTTGTTGAATGGTTTAAAATTCATGATTCATATCAAGCAAACACAAAACAGTTTGAACTGCTTGGTATTATTATAGCTATGTGCAGTCACGACCGTGGACTCGGAAAGCCATTTGGTGTCGGGGGACGAAGGTGGCATGATGCGAGTGTGGAGTGTCTCGACGTGGGATTGCTTGCAGGTACGTGGTTGGTTCCCTGTATCGCATAAACACTCTTGTTGGCAATACATATACCCCATCCATCCATCCATCCATCCGTCGAATGACATGGCCATGTTGTTCTTGTACAAAACACTGCCAAAACACAAATACATGTCGAATATGACTAGACGTTCCACACGTCGCAGCACATCAGCACGTTGCGGTGTCAAGTGGTGTGGCCCACATCCCCCCAAGCCGATGCTCTGCTGATGTGCGCGGGCAAGTCGGTCGAGTTCCACGATTGCGCGCTTGTCCGCGAGCGCGAAGAGTTTTTGTTTGTCGATTTTAACGCCACGTTCAACGTGATCCTTGCGGCCACATGTAAAGGAATCCATCACCGCGTCGCACGTCGTGTGCAATTACGTCACACACCACACGTGTAGACCACCGCCTGATCTTGTGGGACATGGCCTCGGGTGACATGCGCAAAACATACGAATTGCACGTGATCTACAACGGCAAACCCGCCACACACAGCGTCACAGCCGTGTGCCTGGACGACCGAGAGCGCAAGCTCATCGTCGGGGACGACGCTGGCCAAGTGCTCGTGGTGAACCTCGTCAACGGCAACCTCATGAAGGAGCTCGACCCCCATGCCCAAGCGGTTCGACAGCACTTTGCAAGACGTGTTTGGTGTCATTTTACGAGTAGATTTCGTCGCTGTCGTACGTGGCCAGTTCAAAGTGCGTCGTCTCGACTGCTATCGACGCCACCATTCACATTTGCGACGAAAACAACGCCCACGGGTACTACGTGCCATTTGCGGGGGCGCCCTTGTCCGTGCTCCTTCGATCCCTCCGACTGTCCCCCGCCGTAGCGCTGCTTCCCCCCCGACAACGCCGGCACACGGTGCGTCTGTTGCTTCGTTGGTCAGTATTTGCTGGGTTTGGTTCCAAATATGTGCTCATTGAATAGATGGCGATCGTAGCATCAAGCAGCGTCGCCCCAACTTCGTCGTCGCACTCTCCAGACATCGACGTACTTACAAGCGTCTCCAGCGACTCACTGCGCCTCATTGCGACTGTGTCTTCCTGTTCCATTGGGGTACATGATGTGGCAGTTATATATATATGCCCATGTCGTTTTTGCTGATAAACGCGTACGACGACGACAGGAGAGTTACGTGCAGTTGTGGGATTTTGATTCGTCAGTGTTGGTGCAAACGTGTGTCGCGCCCGACCCGACGGCGGAAATCAGCTGCGTGGTGTTCCTACCCGGTTACCCGGGCCTTGTGGCCGGTCTGAGCACGGGCGAAGTGTTTGTGTGGGGCGTGCGACCGTCCCCGGCCTCCAGGTACGTCGCGCTGTGCGTGCCAAGTCGATTGAGTTTTCACGCAGGATGTAGCCTAGGTTGTCTTTTCCAGCTCACACAGTGGCCTCTTTCTCCTTCGATGATCCCTGCGCCGTCTCTGGCCGCCCACGCACCTGCCATCACCAGTCTACTGACATTACCCCTCGCTGTACGGATTTCTACCTACACGTGTACCCCCGTCACTTCGTTTGACATTTTCGAAATGCCCTTCATCCTTGCACCGTTTTTATTGTTTCGGGTGTAGACTACTGACGAACCCCCCGGGGTGCTGATATTCGCTGGCGACGAAGCCGGCCAAGTGACGCGGTGGACGCTCCCGTACGATGCAATTGTCGGCAGCGGTCTCGTCGCCAACGATGCAGACGGTGACGACGATGGTGTCACGACCGAAGCAACGTTTGTGACAGCGCTGCCATCTCGCCAGCCCGTCACAGCCACACGTTGCAGCACGCCGTCTGTAGCTTCCACAACTTCGTCAGCAACGTCTGGACGACATACCCACACAGACGTGGCGTGGGACACCATGGCCAAGTCGGCGCGGTCCGCCAAACTCGCGAGCGCGTCCCCAGCGCCTGTGGCGAGCGACGTCCAGTGGCAAGTGGACGGCGGCGGTGTCACCAAACTCGCCAAAGCCTCAGTCACCCTCGACGTGTATTCGGTGCTCACATGCGTCGCCACGGGGAAAATCCAGGCGTGGAGTGTCGACGGGGTCGACCAAGGTACCCTAGACTACTTTGCAACGCGGCGGCAGCCAGGTAAAAGGGGCGTAATGTCTATCTGGCGACGAAAGTTCCATGTACCTCTAATAAATATATGGCGGCTCTACCACCTGCGGGGAACACCAGGATGATGATGATGAATGAATCCAATGAATGAATGACAATATCACATTTGTAGCTTGTTTAGTGAAGTTGGATTACCCTATCAGAAAAAAAATATTTGGGGCGTTTGTGGGGGACGTTCCAATCGAATCAATCACTTATTAGTATAAGTTTAGTACAAAGGCTTATTGCTACATCGTTCTCTAAGTGTTTGTGTTGATACTCATTTGGCATGTTCGGAAGGAAACCAATGCACATATCAAACTTCCTAGTGCATGCTCCGTGGCGGCTCCCCGTGGACCGGTCGTTGCGGCTACAACAGCAACAAGTCCAGGCCAACGCCGTGTTGCAGCAAGTGCGAGGCGTGACGGCGTTGCTGCAGAACTTGGACGTTAAACCCCCCAACCACCAAGGGCCTCAAAGTTATCCCAACATGGTAATCGAACAACCACTAATGGTTGTGTTGGTCATTTGAGTGGTACTGTGTGTGTTTGTAGTCGTCCAAACTGTCCACTCCCGCGACCCCCGCCTCACGCCAGCCACGGACAACAACGACGAGCCCCAACAGCGTCGATGCGATGGTCACCCCGCGCACCGCCACACGATTTCAAACCCTCGGTCAACTTGTGTCTCGGAACGAGCGGCGGGCTCTTCAACAGCCCGACAATGACGAAGACTCGAATGTGTCGTTGGGTACGGCGCTATTGGTGTGTTTGCCCACTGCCGCCTAACTTTGCCATGTGGTAGACGTTGTGCTGCATGACATTGGTAAACTGAATCAAGTGGCCAGGACCACGCACACGCGCAAGAAGCGAACGATTCACACCGCGGACACCATCATGGAGAGGTCGTTGTCCATGCCTACGTTGCTGCTCAAGCCAGCAGCAACAGCAGCAGCAGTAAAGTCACGCAAGGGGGGGTCGTCGAAAGGGAAGACGCCCCTCCTGTCACGATCAACAACGTCCACGTGTGTGCTGCCTCCCCTCGACTTGCGCCACGAACTCGCCGAGATGGCACTAGCCAAGCAACACCAAGTTGATGTAGCCGACAGCGACTCGACGCAGTCCGTGCTGAGCTATCACCTCAAGCTCGCCCACGCGTGGCAGCAGTGAGCGCTACCTCGATGATTTGGCCAGAATTATCGGTCACCCCCCCCCCAATGTCGTTTGTTGTCCTTCCATAGCGCCTCGTTTATCGTCGAACCGCTAGAGTGTGTAGATTTCGACCGTCGTTGGCATACACCCTATGAATAGTACTGTACCATTGATGACGTGGCAAATGAGCCACTCGAGTCAGCGTATGAGACACTGCAACGATCCAACCCTGAGCACTATCCATATGGTCGTACTAGTAAAGACAAGCATTGTGTCATCGGGAAGTACTATATACATGGAGCAGGAAGAGGTGCCGGTTCGACAGCATGGGAATCTGCGGACAAGACGACTATTGATATAGCCCCGCACGCTGCCCCGAACAATACGCATCGCAGTGTGATAACCTTACGCGTTTGAACCCATGTCACAGTAAATTAGGCGTCGTTTGTTGTTGATTCAAGTACTAGTAGTCGGACAAGGATTCAATCAATATATCGACTACTAACTACTACGTAGTATCAAATCGAAATTCTCACTGCAGGACAGCATTTTTCGACCAGTACGCCACCGCTTCCAAGTACGCGTCGCGCGTCAACGGCACGCCCGACCCGCCTTCGTCCTTCCCCAGCGCATTCCGCATCATGGTGATGGGGTTCATGGGCAGTTCATACGGCACGTCTTGCGCTTTCACGGAGATGATCCCCCATGGAACGTCGGCGTTGGCGGCGTCGGGCTCGTGGCCCGTCGCGCGGTTCTCGGCTTCGATTTGCGCGCGACTGTAGAGAATCACGTCCAGGTATTGCGCGACCGCGGGAGTGACCTGCGACACGGGAAACCATCGTACCAAGCTACGGACACTGGAATGAGAGCAAGCATCAGGCAGAAGGGTATCGTACACAGGCAGTTCTGCGGGCACGCGCGACACGTAATCGCTTTGCAACAAGTGGGCGTTGTCGGCGGTGATGGCCGCCGAACTCAGCCGCGCGCCGACAAAGTTGGGGACGAACAAGTGCTTGCAAAAAGGAGCGTAGCTACACGCATATAGCACCGTCAACAGATAACAATGGATGAAAAGCTATTACAGACCCGTCGACGAGGGTGACCTCGTTGTCGTCAAAGAGCTGGTTGATTTTGGCCTCAAACGCAGCCTTGTCATGATGCAGTTGGGTCCCTTTGTAGTTGGGGTCGTCGAATTGACGCAAGCAAAAAGCATCTACACACGTCAAGGTCTAGGTCACATGCCGTCCAGGGGTGATGGAGCTGCCACCGACTTACCCAGAGCGAACTGCCGCGGCATCCTTTGAGCGGTTCTGGCAATCAAGTTCATCCGGTAATTGTAATGTATCCGGCACACGATATGAATATTTACAAAAACTGATATTTGGCGTTTTTGAGAAAATGTCTCGTTGGGATAAACCCATTTAGCCCAAAATTGGTTTCGCCATTTTCTGCAATTTATTCGCAGATAAGTTTGCGTTTCGAGATATATTGCCCTTTTGAGCTAAATTTGGTATTTTTGGTAGATTCGACGAAATCGTCGAGGGTCATTTTACTTGAACTAACTATACTCACTGTCCTGTCCGATACAACATGGAGAAGCTTGGCAAATGCACCGGATACGCCTGTAATTTGATTGGTCGAAAGGTTTTTATTCGAACAATTCATTGGGTACTTCAGTCCGTCGATTACTCCGTCGATTTTGCTTGGCAGCCCCAGTCCATTTTGAAATCGAATTAATTACCAATACCAAATATATTGTTTCTACCTCCCCAACAATTAATATTCCACGACTGCTCGACCGACGTCGCTACATCTCCGACCTGACACTAGAAAGGCTAAAGGCTTGAGGGTATCACGAGAGAAAGACAGAGGGGGCTCTTGTTGGTGGTACATACATGCATTGACAGGCGCTACCGTATCTTGGCGGGCGGCGAAAAATAATGCCGAAAAATTCAAAATAATGTGAGAAAAACGAATATTATGTTTCAGTCGCTGGCTCGATTTTCAGAAACAGCCGCCTGTCTAGGGCTTATTTCGTGGATGGAACTGGATTTGGCGCGGAGGCAACATCCGACCTGGTCGACAAGCGCATCGTTCAACGCGAGGGGCGACGCACATGAACATCGACGACCAACCAAGGCCTTCTACTCCCGACGCACTCGACGTGAGTGCCGCCTGCAAGTACGTGAGCATGACGTAGCTGTGTCCACCATTACATTTCAACATCTCCATAGGGACCGCGGAGGCAGCAGCGACAGCGACTTTTCGTTTCTTCAATCGCCCACAAAGCCCTTGTCGACGGGCCTCGAGTCGTGGAGAACGCGGTGTTGCCGCATGTACACGCCCACGCGCATGTTGGTCGCGTGTCTGTTGGTTGCGGCGGCGGTGGCTGCGAGCGTTCTCCTCGGGTACATTGTCAGCACCGAGTTCAACGGGATCACCCCCACACCAAACCGCGACGTGTCGTCATCATCGCCGCCGATTCTGACGGGATTCCACAAGACGACATGGGATGCGATGGTGTTTAGCTTGCCCAACACGTGCCGCATCCTATCGCTGCTGAGCGTCACGAGCGTGCTGTTGTACTACACATGGAACGAAACGTTTCGGTTCAACGCGATGCCGCTCATGCTGCCGCTGCTTCTGTCGCAGCTGGGTCTGCTCACGTCCAAGTTTCTCGTGGCGGTTGCGTCCATCTTCTCGTCCGACCACGTCGTTCCTGTCACCACCACCACAAAGGCGTCCAGGTTTGTCTACACACCCGTGTGCAAGCCTACAGTCTACTGCGGACTCACGAGCAGCATCCTCAGTACGACGTTCAACCTGAGTCAGATCGCGTTTACCGTGGCCATTACGTGGCGGCTGCTGCAGTCGGTGGGGACCCCCGTCGAGGCGCTATGTGACACCCGCCACATCGACAAGCAGATCAATCGGTGGATCATCGGCATCGTCGCCTTGTCGTGCGCGGTGGCCGTGGCCATCACGTTCGCCACCGAGCCGCCACAGCCGCCTTCGCCCACGGCATGCCAGTACAACCCGTGGGTATGTACGAGCGCGGAAACCCAGCTTCTCAACAACATGGTGGCGCCGGCTATCGGGCTAGGCACTGTCACCGCGCTGTACTTTCGCATTCGCGCCAACATTCACGACTTGTACCCGGCGAACGCCCGCCGCACGTTCAAGTCGGTCGCGACGTACTTGATCCTGGTGTTTGTCGTCACGTGGGGCATCTCGTTGTTTTCGTTTTCGCTGCTGACGGTTCTGAGGCAACTGCCCGACCCGACTCTCAAGACACGATCCGCGGCAGCGTTTGCCCCCCCCAGCCGCGCGGCGCTCGACGCGATCAAGCGCAAGGTGCAGTTCATGCTGCTCACGTTTGTCCCATACGACCTCCAGGGGTTTCTCACCAGCGTCGTGGCCATCTGCAGCTACTTTCGCCTTCGAACGCGGTTCGACCTGGGCCTGAGTCTCAAAGCCATCAACCCGTCGTCGATCGAGTTTGACGAACCCCTCGCTATCCTCGGCCAAGGCGCGTTCGCTGTCGTGGTCAAGGCTACGTGGTTCCCGTCGCGGCAGCTCGAGTACGGCACTGTGCTCGGCTGCTTGTTCCCTACGACTGCCGCCAAGAGCTCGACCAGCACTGACAACCACCCTCGACGACGACCCATGTCTCCCCATGACAACACGAGTGTGCGCGTCGCAGTCAAAACGTTCAAGCTCGAACGCAACGGCGCCAACTCGACGCTGAATGGGATCCAGGAAGAAGCGTACTTGGCGTCCAAGCTCATCCACCCCAACATCATGGCCACGTACGGGTGCTACACGGTAGGCTCGACGCTCTACCTTGTGTGCGAATACCTCGGCGGCGGCACCCTCCAAGACGTGATCGACACGGCACAGCCATTGCCGTACGAACAAGTGCTGCTGTACGCGCTGCAAATTGCCTCTGGCATGGAGTTTCTCCACGGGTTGGCGGTGCCCGTGATCCATCGGTATATGTATGATGTCTCTCGTCCTACATGTACAGTACTGGCTAACACGTACACTATTTTTTTGACGGACTGTAGCGATCTGAAGCCCCTCAACTGCTGCTTTGACCAAACTCACTCGACGCTCAAGCTCGTGGACTTTGGGTTCTCGAGGCTGTTCCGGGCCGACCCGAAACAAGCCGCCAGCAACACGACGCCGCGCCCGACGACGTGCACTGACAGGGAAATGGAATCGCGCCGCACCAACCTACCGCTGTTTAGCAGCGCCACGTCCCGGTTTTCACGCGTTCCAGAGCAACTCGGGGACTCGGGGCACACGTGCCCGTCGTTGCTGCTCACGTCGCGCGTGGGGACGGTGTGTTGGGCGGCGCCCGAAGTGCTCTCAGAGGACGAACAGACGCGGTACAGCCTCAAGGTGGACGTGTACAGCTTCGGCATCATATGTTGGCAGCTGTACACTGGCAAGCAGCCCTTCAGCGACATCCCTGGCAGCGTCTTGGCCGTGGAGGAGGCGGTGCTGCAAGGCACGCGGCCCCGAATCCCCGACGACTGCCCCGTGCACTTTGCCAAGCTCATGCGGCGCGCGTGGCATGCCAATCCGGACCGCCGCCCGTCGTTCGTGGACGTCGTGCGCGTGCTCGCGGCCGAGCTCAACCAGTTCCACATGTTTGGCACTGTGCGCAGCGAACCCAAGAGTCCATGCGACTGGGACTAACTAGGCTTCTATTTAACGAGCTACTACTATTTATGTGTCTTGTTGTCATGTTCGACTGGTGTTTGCAAGATGCCTACTAGTATGGAATATGGCTTGCCAAACCTCTGTCATATATCGGGGGCCCAAAGTAAGGTAGAGGGCCCGCTGATGTGTACTGTAGTTGGGGTTATGGATGTCGGACATGAAAAGCACAGCCTTAGCATACAATAATATCGACACCTGCTTCGAATGCGACACATAAATAGTAGTAGCTCGTTAAATAGAAGCCTAGTTAGTCCCAGTCGCATGGACTCTTGGGTTCGCTGCGCACAGTGCCAAACATGTGGAACTGGTTGAGCTCGGCCGCGAGCACGCGCACGACGTCCACGAACGACGGGCGGCGGTCCGGATTGGCATGCCACGCGCGCCGCATGAGCTTGGCAAAGTGCACGGGGCAGTCGTCGGGGATTCGGGGCCGCGTGCCTTGCAGCACCGCCTCCTCCACGGCCAAGACGCTGCCAGGGATGTCGCTGAAGGGCTGCTTGCCAGTGTACAGCTGCCAACATATGATGCCGAAGCTGTACACGTCCACCTTGAGGCTGTACCGCGTCTGTTCGTCCTCTGAGAGCACTTCGGGCGCCGCCCAACACACCGTCCCCACGCGCGACGTGAGCAGCAACGACGGGCACGTGTGCCCCGAGTCCCCGAGTTGCTCTGGAACGCGTGAAAACCGGGACGTGGCGCTGCTAAACAGCGGTAGGTTGGTGCGGCGCGATTCCATTTCCCTGTCAGTGCACGTCGTCGGGCGCGGCGTCGTGTTGCTGGCGGCTTGTTTCGGGTCGGCCCGGAACAGCCTCGAGAACCCAAAGTCCACGAGCTTGAGCGTCGAGTGAGTTTGGTCAAAGCAGCAGTTGAGGGGCTTCAGATCGCTACAGTCCGTCAAAAAAATAGTGTACGTGTTAGCCAGTACTGTACATGTAGGACGAGAGACATCATACATATACCGATGGATCACGGGCACCGCCAACCCGTGGAGAAACTCCATGCCAGAGGCAATTTGCAGCGCGTACAGCAGCACTTGTTCGTACGGCAATGGCTGTGCCGTGTCGATCACGTCTTGGAGGGTGCCGCCGCCGAGGTATTCGCACACAAGGTAGAGCGTCGAGCCTACCGTGTAGCACCCGTACGTGGCCATGATGTTGGGGTGGATGAGCTTGGACGCCAAGTACGCTTCTTCCTGGATCCCATTCAGCGTCGAGTTGGCGCCGTTGCGTTCGAGCTTGAACGTTTTGACTGCGACGCGCACACTCGTGTTGTCATGGGGAGACATGGGTCGTCGTCGAGGGTGGTTGTCAGTGCTGGTCGAGCTCTTGGCGGCAGTCATAGGGAACAAGCAGCCGAGCACAGTGCCGTACTCGAGCTGCCGCGACGGGAACCACGTAGCCTTGACCACGACAGCGAACGCGCCTTGGCCGAGGATAGCGAGGGGTTCGTCAAACTCGATCGACGACGGGTTGATGGCTTTGAGACTCAGGCCCAGGTCGAACCGCGTTCGAAGGCGAAAGTAGCTGCAGATGGCCACGACGCTGGTGAGAAACCCCTGGAGGTCGTATGGGACAAACGTGAGCAGCATGAACTGCATCTTGGTACGCACAGCTTCCAAGTTGACTTTCGAGTGAAGCGGCCACGGCGCCGTGGTCCGCTTTGGATTTGGGTCCGGCAGTTGCCTCAGAACCGTCAGCAGCGAAAA